CATCAAGCTTACTCCTGGGAAGTTGCACTCAGGGCCAAGGGCCAGCACTTCAGGTTCAGCAACAACACCAGCACCAAAGATACAGACAGCAAATGTGAGGAAAGCTATACAGTTCAACAAAAATGCGGATGATGAGGAGAATGAGGTTAAATCAAATGATGAAATTGACCTTGCTATTGCTCAAGAGATGGCCAATTATCAAGATGAGATGCAGGAACCTGAGGAGGACATCTCTACCATCAGCTTGAACAAAGATGATTTTATACTTGTAAGGTTCAAGCTTGAGCTATGGGTGCAATGCGAGAAATTTTATGTTGCTCACATCAGGGAACAACCACAAGATGATGACTGCAATGTTATGGTTGAATTTCTAAAGAAGAGCACTGACACAAAAAGGCTATCATTTGTCTATCCTGTTCAGTATGACATGGCAATGGCTGCTGTCAAACGAGAGAACATCATTCTTAAACTAACCCTCCTCAGCACAAAGCGTGGGAAGCACATTTTTAGTAATATGTTGCTTGGCAAGTTGGCTGATAGTAGTTTTGGTTAGCCGTAATCTATAAAAACATGTAGGTACAAGCACAGTTTAGTTTCAGTTTTAAATTAAAATATATGTTAAGTGCAGACAAATATATGTTAAGTGTGAAAATGAAGTTTGTTTTGGGGGAGGGGGGTTTAAAAGTGTTAGGTATAGACTGGAAAAAATAGTTTTTGGCAATGAAAAATGGATATGGTGATATATCAATAACAGAGAAGCAAGTACCAATGCCAGAAAATATCATCTATTAATATCTATATCATCTACAAATGAAGAGGACTTTGGAGTACTGTTGGTAATGGTGAGTATACTCTGCATCCTTCAAACATTTAAAAACTAAGTTTTATTGCAAGTGCCCCAGATTACCCATTCCCAGGGGTAATTTGGGACACCTTTATTTGCTTCTTGCACCATACAAATAGCATATAAATTTTTTCAGAAATGCCATCTGATAGCTCTGGCCTTTAAAATCAGCCCAAACTTTGGTACAAAATGTTTCATGGTAAGAAGTTATTAATGAAAAACCAAAAATATCATCCCTTATTACCTCATTTGATGGTACTTAGCAGTGCTCTACATTGAGCCAAAGCTGACTCACTAATAGGGAAAGCTCAACAAATTATTCTCATGACAGAAACTGCAATTTGACTGATTTATATATATATATATATATATATTTTGTAAAAGACCAGAGAATTAGTTTTATTTATTAGCTTCTTGTTAGTTTTTTCAATAAGTTGTACTAAATTCTTCGTAGGTGTTGGAAGATTGAAAATTAAATTACCGATAGACATTTTTAATATTGAACGACGTTTCGAATGCACAACATTCATTTTCAAGTTAAAGACGCATTGAGTAACAAAATTTGGGTTGACATATGTACGAAATCAAGTAAATTGGATACCATTCAAATAATGCTAAAATTTCATTAACATGATACTACCTACAGGAAGATTTTACAAGCGCAAAAAACTACTCGGAAAACAATCTCAAAGTTCTGACGAAGCCGGTGGTTTGAAGGTTGATAGCTGGAGTCCTCTCCTTAATGATGAGGGCCTCTGCTATAGCCAGTCGTATAGGATCCTATACGACTTGTTTGTCCTACAGTTTACCGAAAACCTACAGACGTCGGAAGAGTTCTGAACGACGCAAGTGAATGCCCCCAGCGATACAAAACCAGCACTATTCGCGCCTTAATACACAGAGCATTTAAAACCTGTTCAACCGCCAGTGACTTGAGAACTGAACTCCAGGCCTGCAAGCAAATCCTGGTAAACAACGGGTATGCGAATACAACTATCGACAGCGAAATCTCAAACTACCGAGCACGTCAAAACCAAACGGACAATGAGCCAGCATCTAACGAAAGTATTATAACAATTTATTACCAAAATCAGATGACTGAAGCCCACAAAACTGACGAAAGAGTCCTCGAATCAATTGTGCTCAATAACATTACAAGCACAACCACAACTGACCGAATCAAACTCCTGATTTACTACAAAAACATGAAAGTCAAGAATTTGATAATGAAAAATAATCCATGCAAAAAGTCGGGCCCATTACAAGAAACTAATGTTATTTAAAAATATTCCTGCCACAAAGAAGGTTGTAGACTTCTCCAGAACGTAAATTACATCGGTTTGACCAGCACGACTTTGAGCCGCCGCCTAACATGCCACCTCCAGGCCGGAGGACCGAAGAACCACACGAGGGAGGCTCATAATGAGACACTCACTCACGCGACATTGGAGACCCACACCAAAATCGTCATGAGATGCCCAGACGCCACGAGACTGGCCATAGCTGAGGCTCTCATCATCAAGCAGGAGTCTCCAGCTATTAATTTACAAACTACCGGATTTGTCAGGACGTTAAAATTGTTCTCGTAATTCAAGCTTTGATTCCAATCTGTATCCATAATACTCTATGTTTGTACTGTCATTTCAAAATTTCAAATTCACTTGTTGCAAAACTCGTCCTCTGTACTTGATAATGAATGAAGTTGCATTCGAAACGTCGTAAAATTAAAATTAACAACCAGAGAATTTGTTGATTTAAATTATCAAAGAGTTGGACAATTCTTCAGATGACGTTGGTAGATCAAAAGGCATATATCAGGAAGTAGTTTTAGTTTATTAACGACGTTTCGAATGTAACAAACATTCAATTTCAAGTTACAAAGAGCATTAAATATTGAAATTTTGGTGGAAATAATTACATAATATATGTAAATAGGATACTACAGTAAAATTTTGAATAAGAAAATCACTCTGAAAACCATTTCAAAGTTCAGAAAAATCTGATAGTCAAGAAAGTGATAGCAGGCGTTCAATCCGTAGAGGCGATGAGGCTAGCCATCTTCGGTAGATTGATGTCAGGCCACTGCTTGATGACAATGCTGGTGGGTTCCTTCAGCACAAAGCGAGTGACGGTCTGGTTGTGAGATTGTCGCGTGTGGTTCACTTGCCCTCCAGGTTGGAGGTAGCTAATAAGACAGCGTCTTGGTGTCCTGGTTGTTGATCCAAAGTTTCCGATGTAGTCTACAAGATGAAGAAGTCTACAACCTTCTTTGAAGCAAAATTTATTGACCACAACGGCCTCTCAGATAACTCCCAAGTTTTTGCAAGGGCCATTATTGCGTTTAGTTTAGTTTGGTCGTTAATCGCACGCATATAAATCAACAAATTCTGCCATCCAATACTAAATATATATATATATATATATACCTATATATTGACTTCCTGCTACATTAAACAGTAACAACTGGTTATTTCATCAACTAATGTGTTTCTAGATGGATAATATTGAATATCAAGTGTCATCATTTGATTAAATAGGTACTTTGTAACATAAGAATTTCCACTTGGTCCTGTTTTACTCACTGAAGTAAAATGGGACTGGCTCATTTTTTTGCTCTATACAATAAGCTGTAATATTTTCAAAAAATTTTAGTTGAGGTCTGAAAGCCCATTGTACCAACACACCTAGTGGTAACTTTAGGGATTTTCAGCTCATTCAGTTCAGTTTTCTTTCATTCAGCTCAGTTCCATTAATGGTATATATATATATATATATATATACATACATAGGTGCTACATGCTTATTAGGGATTTTGGTCCTGTCTGCCTCCATCTGACTAAACCTATATAAATTTATTTTGGAATTAGCAATTTGCAATAATTGTTAATATTAAAACCAATAGATTCGTTTATAGCTTGACTCAAGCTGCATTAATTTTATTTTATGTCTTCATTGCTTCAACTAGAACTAATAATAACTTGAACTTCTTTGTTCAACTGGAACTAGATTATTTACTACATACCATAAAATGGGGTAACTTAGACCGGCGTGGTAACTTAGACCAATTTTCATTTTTTTAACAAAAATCCCCAAAACTCAAAAACTATTTGACATAGAAAAATTTTGTCAATGGGCATTAAAGGCCTAATACTGAGGCTACATAACACAATAGAAAGATTTAAAAAGTTTGCATATCTAATAGGTTAAAAAATTAAAAATGTGACCCACGAAAAAAAGCTATTATTTAAAGCCTGTCAGAGTACCCCCTCCAATTTTTGTATTTTTTGGTTAAATAACTCCAGGTTTTTATGCATTGTAATAGAACTCTTCTAGTTACATATGCAAATGACAAATTTTAGGAAAGTGTCATAGTTTGCAAATGGGGGGCGCCGCCCTCAAATGGGGGAACTTAGACCACCTAATGTCAGCCCTGAAAGGGTAACATAGACCTTCTTGGAAGTTAATATAAAATTACCATATATAACATATTTTATGTTTGACAGCCTATTTATGTTTTTTCTTTGTGTTTCAGACTCTACAGAGTCTTATATATGGTAATTTTAGCTTAATTTCCAAGCCAGTCAATATTACCCTGTCAGGGCTGCCATTTGGTAGTCATATTTCCCCCATCATGGAGCGGTGCCCCCCATTTGCAAACTATGACACTTTCCTCAAGTTTTTTCATTTGCATATGTAACTAGAAGAGTTCTACTACAATGCACCAAAACCTGGAGTTATTTGGAGTTATTTTATCAAAAAATATAATTGATTTTACCACCCGGTCTAAGATACCCCAAGAGCTGGGGTAACAAAGACCATCACTTTTTTTGAAATTACATAAAGACTATGAGAGGCAGGAGCCAGCAATTTATGGTGAGTGAAGCTAGAGTATAGACCTGTATTTTGCATGTTTCAATTTAAGTTTAATTTAGCCTGTAAAAAAGGCATCATTTATAAAAAAAAGTGGTCTAAGTTACCCCATTTTACAGTACCTGTTTCATTCAATTATTTTTTCAAGAGTTCATAATTTTTTGTAGGCAATTCAATGAATATTAAACATTTTTGATAGTAGTGTTGTCTACAAAATAGCTGTCCCTGATATGCATAAAGTTTCCAATTAATTTTTTCATAATTTTACATGTCTCTATCTTTTCAGATCCTGCTACTCAACATACACAAGTTTCTACTAACCTCAACTAACTCAGGTGAGGTAAATATACGTACCTATTTATTTCAAGCATGACTTCTTTGTGGCATAGTACTTACTGTATTCAATGTATATGGCATACTTACTGTATTCAATATAAAATAAAAACTTGAGGAGGAAATTGAAGGCTTTAGAACATAGAGTTTTACAAATTACGTACATTAAATTTCTTATCTATGAAGCTCTTACCTTGTTGAAACTTTTATGGTCTAGGGGAATTTTTGGGTCTAGTATATTATATAACAAGTTGATTATATTTTTTTAATGAAAAGTCATGTAAGTACCATCTTTCAATAAGTTATCAATTGAGCACTTTATTGGCCTAAATTTATATTCATCAAATTGTGGAAGAGCAACCATTATCTGCAGAAGGCTATGTCTATAACATTATTGTCAGCTTGGCTGTAAATATATTTTCTTTAATTACAATGCTTGGGAAATTAATCTATGTGACCAGGTAAACTTGATTGATTTTTTTTCACCTACAAAAATAAATTAAACAAGAAACCAAAGGAATGATTTATTTTGTGTAAGCTTTTCAAATTTCTTATTTAGAAATTTCAGTTTGTGATTTACAATGTGATAATACCATTCAGTATTATTATATTGTCAAACCTTAGAAAAGGTTTAGTATATAGATCTTGATATTTTTTGATGATAAAGCATTTATTTAGCAGTAGAAGCGATTAAGCATTAGTGAGTGACGATAAATCATTATTTATAGCAATGAGAAGTATTAATTGAAAGTTACTGGAAGTGCCATGTTGTAGCTTTCGAGCATTCTTTACCTGACTTTTAGCAATGCTCTTATTTTTCATCAAAAAAATTTGTTCAGCAATGATCCTTGTTTTGTTTTACATATTTGATTGTTCAATTAATTAGAACTGAATTTTTTACAGGGAAGTGATCACAATGGATCATCCACATCAAGAACCCTTGCCTCCTGGCATCATCCCTAATTTCCATCCAAAGTATCCGTTTGAGTGGCGTCAGAAGTTGCTTCGTGATCCTTGTCCTAATGAACTGCACAGCTTAGGCCTCCCCTCTGCTTTTTCTAGCTATGGTCGCCCACAGCGAGGCTATGGCGGCTATGAGACCTGCCGTGACTTCTGCCAGGAAGAAAAGCAGATACCGGAGCAACAGGAGCAGCAGAAACTAGAGGAGTATTATGAAGGTCTTTTGCTTCAGCAAACACATCATGAAGAGCTGTCAGCTCAGCAGAGACGTTTTTCAACCTGGCAGGATAGTGATCAACACCAGTGGCAAGGGCAACAACAAGAGTGGCTTGGATTTTCACCTCATGCTAACGGGTTCCAAGAAGGATCATTACAACTCAATTCAAATTCGTTCCCCGCCCAAAGAAGGAGACCACCACGGCGAGGGCGACATCGTGACGTTCGTTTCCTCCCTAATGATCGTGATGGTCACCTTAGTGCACAAAATTGCCGAAACCATATTGCATCTTCTGCTAGTATTGTGAACGGCGAGTCACCGCGCAAATTCCATATGAATAATGGGGACAGAATGGCCGAAGAAGAAGCTTTCTACTCTGGGGGATTTGGGATTTCAGACGAGTATGCAGCGTATGATGACGATCCGGATTGGAGTGGTTTTGATTGTGGCAACGGTGGTATTTCTCGTAAAGGTAATTATTCTGGCGGTTGTACTTTTGGAGTTCCGACACCGTCGTCTATAGATCACTATTATAACCTAGCACCCCAAAAACCAGACGGTAAACAGAATAATTGCACGAATAACGAGGGTGACCGCAAACTTGCCATTGCGCGAAGATTGCAGTACCTGAGACGCCATTTTCGCGACAGAGTCTGCGAGGTTTGTGTTGTCGGCTTCCCTTGGATGGAGGAATACAATAAACACATGCGGTCTCATGTGCAGTGTATTTATCCAGGTTGTAAGTTCGAAGCCTCCATTGAAGTTCTTGACGATCACATAACACGTGAGCACCTTCTTAATCCTTCAGTGAACGCGCCCATCAGTGATGAAGAGTACCGACGCCAACGTCGTAACAAATTCCCAACGCAGGCAAAGAAAGAACTTGATCAAGCTATGGCTGCACTACAGAAGCAGCGTGGGGAACTTTTAGGACTTAAAACTAGTCAATTTAAGAAAGAATCAAACAAAAACTCTGCTCTGATCAACACTGCGGTAGGAAACCAAAACAGAGGGTCTAAGCGCGGAGCTCCAGCGGAAAACCAAAGAAAGTTTAAGAAAGAAAAAGCTGAAAATAGCAACGGTAAAAATTTCAGAAAAGTTCGAGACGAATGGGAGCACAAAGACACTTACATAGTGTACAGCCCCTTACCCGAATTTAAGGGCATTGATGCATTTGATGAAGCAATGGGAGGCAGCACCGTATTGGCTGAGTCCATCCAATCTGAAAATCAACAGCAAGACGAGGTTCAGTTCCATATCAGCGATGAAGACGAGGATTTCCTTCAGCCCTCCTTACCATCTGATAGAACTTCGATGTCTGCATCGAAGTGCCTTGTTGAATCTGTTGAATCGCAGTTGGCCACTTCTCGAGGCTCTGAGGAACAAAATCAAGTACAAGATTCTCCTCCTACCAGTGTTCTAGTGACCAGTGTCCACAATCCTGTTTGCGAAACCCCTTCAGTTCCAGAATCTTGCGCATTAGGTTCTCAGGGAGTTGGTGCTCTCGGCCTCCTCATGGGGGACTATGGTTCTGCGACAGAGAGCGAGGGTGAAAATTTGGAAGAAGCTGAAATTGTGAACCATGTTACTTGCTTTGTTGAGGATAGGACTTCCAAATTACAAGCAGGAGACTCTTCGATGAGAAAACAATCTGAAAAATTTTCCAATGCTGGCCGTATTGGTGAAACAGAACAAAACGTTCAGGAGGCTGTTTCAGTCCAATCATCAAAAAGAACTGGCAGAAGGAGAGGTAGGCGAGGCATAAAAAAACGTGGAAGTAAGCCAATTCCTTCCGATACTGATCAGTCAAAAATTCCATTCCTTGCATCCGAAACAACTGCATTTAATTCTGTATCTTCCGTGTCACGTGGAGCTTTGTCACAACGCGATAAGCCCAGCTTGTTCCCTCATCTGAAGCCCATTAACGTTAGAAATGACTCGTCATCAGATGAAGAAAGCAGCGCCACCATCTCAACGGAGAAGAGTTGGCACGAGCGCAGCGAAAGCGCTCTTGCCTCCCGGTGCATCTCACACAAGCTCAGACAGTTCAGGAACAAATATAGGACCAGCCTGCTGGAGAAGTTGCTAAAGGATGAGGTGAGGTTCGAACGGAATGTCCTGTTACAGTGCGCCAGGAAGATTGTTCTGAGCAACTTCTTTGAAGATCAAAAAATAATTCCATCGAATTCAAATAACGGGAAAGAGGGCGATGTCACCAGTAATTCAGATGATCATGGAGAGACAACCTCTGACGACAGCGATGAAAATGTGTCAGATTGTAATGAGGATGTAAGTGGACAGGAAGCTTGTGGCGACAACACCGAGAAGGTTACAGCTGCAGCTGTTGATCGTAGTGTTAGTGAAGTGAACCTTTTTGAGAGGAATAGTTTGCCTGAGTAAAAATAGCTTGATCCTGATTTCTAGAACAACATAAAACTACATTATTCTTTCAAAGATTTTTGAAACTGTAAGAGATTTGTAATATATTCATTACGAGACGAAGCTCTGGTTAACACTCGTAGTCGATGTTCACTTCAGTTTGTCAACTGCAGTAAACTTTCTTACTAAGTAATTCTGTGTTTTGTTTCCCTTTAACGAATTTGTTCATTGTTTCATTGTATTGGCCTACTGCATTATAGTAACATTCTCGTCTTTTTCGCAGGATTGATAGTTTGGCGCTGAAATAACGATAGCTTGTCTATCCACTATTTTAGTCGATTAAGAATGCGGATGGATCTTTATAAATCTTATTTGAGGTGTATCGAAGATTCTTTCAAAATGAGAATTAAAATTTCCTTCCACTACATCTTACCCAAGGCTATTGCAATCAGTAGTAAAGAATTGTTTAAAATTCGCTGTATGGTTGGTTTTTGGATATAATTTCGACGACAATAATTTTTTGGATAGTAAATAATTTAGCTCAAGTGGAGTGTTCTGAGATCTAACAGGCGCTGTCATCACCGCCACGCGATTACGAAGAGCAGTTACGATCAGCTGAGGCAGTATCGCGAATAAAGAGCGGTCAAAGTTTTCTAATGCGTTATTGTGAATAAAGAGCAGATATGTTCCGATGAATTATTGCGGAAGAGAGCGGTCATACTTTCTATTCTCATAGAGGATTGCAAATAAAATGAAGTCATGTTCTTCGCAAGTTATTACGATTGAAGAGCGGTCGTCTTCTGATGGAGAATTGAGATCGACAATGATTTAATAAAATGAATTATAATGAACCTCGAATTACTTGAATCACGGAGTGGCTGATTAATTCTTGAATAAGGGCATTAAGCTAAATAATAAAGCAATCATTGATTATTAAGAAACTTAAGTAAATCCGTGGCAGTATTTGAGTGGGCATTACTTTGAATTATATAATATTAAAAATGTTTCCAATTGAAAAGTATCAAAGTGAAGAAAGAAGCAGCTTCAACTATATATTTTTTTTTGTTGTGAATGAGGAGGTATTCTAGTAGGTACGTGCAGGAATTTTGAATTCCTGCCGTTACTACAAAAACTTCCTGGCTGGTTTATGAGTAAGTATTAATCAATTCTTTCACCTTTCCTCTTGTCTACGCCGGAAGTGTTTGCTTCAAATGTAATCTCCTGGCAAGTCATTACCTCGATTCCGGTTCGAGCTGCGGTAGACGACGGACGTTGGTAAGAGGAGCTGCGTCTTTTTTGAAAATCGGTGAGTAACTTGTCTGAAGAAAGTAGTCAATAGGCTGTTGAAAATTTCAAGAATTGATTCTGACGTAGCGTTGACACTTAAGTAGGAAAGGAATAATAGAAGTTTGTGTCCAAATGACAAGATTAGTGCTAGGTAAGGGTTACTAACCGGTAGACTAATCAGATGCACTATTTAATGATCATAAGACACAATTATTTTACCTAATAGCCTTATTTATTACAGATTGGCTTGCCAGACGGGGGAGCCTTTTGAGCCGTGAGGTGTATGGAGGACGACTCCACTTCCTCAAGAAGCAGACAAAACAACAACAACAAGTCATTACCTGAGCCGCTCTTCCATCTTGCTTTCTTCTCTGCTGCGGTCGCCAAAATTGCTTCACTTAATCTTCAAGCGACGCCATTTGGTGGTGCTGTCCCGAGTTAGGTCTCTCGCTCCCTAAGGCAAGTAACTTAATTTTCGATTTCACTCGCCAGAAGATCTCGAGACACCAGCCACCGTCTATGTGACAGATAACCTGCTATTTTTTTCAATTTTCTTGTGAGTTGATGATAGCGATTAACTTTACCGCTCTATGTTGGAGGAGATTGTGAAGGAACGGTACCGTATATTTGTTGGCTTCTATTGATCGTCAAGTATGATTCAATGACAGCCTTCATCCCTTTATGATTCGATGACAGCCTTCATCATGAATTATTGGACAGTCATACAGGCCATTGAAATAACTGAATATTTTTGGGTTGTGAATGCACGTCGTAAATGTTTTAAAATACTAAAAGGCTGCGAATAATTGTAACTATAAAATGTTTAGTAAAAATCAATTAATGTTCTTTAGTTTTCATTCCATTAAATATTTATGTGTACGCAGAATCTCAGAACAGTAACTACTTCACAATACTATTAACAGAAGCGCACTTATTTTTAATCATTGTCTCAGTTTTGAAACAGTAAGGAAAAACTCTGACGCACATATTCGTAGCCAGAGCACTTTAAATCGCCGGCCTTCAATAAAAGTGTTTTATTTAATGAACTAAACTGATCTAAACTAAACTGGTCGATGAGCTAAACATTTTTAGCACGATGCAAACAGCTTCGCTGTCGTCATGCTGTTATCGAACCCTATATACAAACCGTATTTCTGGCCTATATACATCACCTATATGATGACTATAACAGCCTGATGTTATAGAATAGAATAGAAGTGTCGGCACTGAAGAAATAGGCCCATGGCCTGTTGCCGATTCTTGTTCATAGAATATAATAGAAGTGTCGGCACTGAAGAAATAGGCCCATGGCCTGTTGCCGATTCTTGAACTTTTCGTGACTTGATTCACAAGGGATCCGGCCTTTGGAATTCGATCTTTCCATAACTGACGATTGATTGAGATAGCTGTTGGACTTATTGCCTGATCTGTAAGTAAGTCTTACGTCATTTCTGCAGTGAACGTTTAATATTTATATTAGAAGCCTATAATCGCTTAACAATGTGGGAACGCAGCACGAGTATTAATGAGATAGGGACGCAACGCCCGTTTAAATGATGTGGAAACTCGAGCTTCTTCAACAAAAAATTTTGTGCAGTAATTAGTTCTTGATGAGCAGCTTAATCCACGGTCGTGACCTTAACCCGTACGGCAATAAGAATCGCTGCATTCACTATCTTAAGACTTAACTACTTTTAAAAAAGAAATACGATAAAAGTTATTCAATTTCTAACATGAAACAAAATAAATCTATACTAATTTGCTATGGTATACTTTATAATAAACACAATTGATTTATAGATACTATTGCCAGTAGGGAGCATACCAGTAAAATAGCCAAGTATAACGTTGTTGTGATCACCACGGCGTACACACAGCAACTTTTATGGTCGCAACAGCAAACAAATGAGCTGAAATATTATTTGAACATTATAACGAGATAAGCTAATTTCAAGTAATGTTGATGAAGGCTTCCGGAAATGCTTCCTTGTGAACGATCTCTTCCTGAAAATAAGGCACGCTAAAAACTAATTATATATAGTCTTGTTCTCAAGCATTCGTGTTTTAGACCAAAATTACAAAAAAAAAAAACTTACGAACACAGCAAAATACGCATGCGCAAGGCAATCACACACACATTTAATTTGAACTTGTTTCCGAAATGCACCCTAGCACCAAATGACAACCATGAATAACCAAGATTGAATGATTTACAGGATGGAAAATTATTTACCGATCTCTGTTAAGGCACAGTTGGCATCGTGTTTTATCTGCACAACAACAACAACAACATCACGCCGCAGTGTTTAATAAATCAAATCAAAATACTGTGATCATCAAATAGTGAAATACAACTACATCATTACAAATTTGATATTGTAGAATACAAAAGATTGTAGAAAATGACCTATGGTTGTTGTGGCATACCGCAAATGGGAGCCAGCGTAGCACCTGAAGGGATCTATAGCACCATCATCACACTAGCGGGCACCACGCTTCACCCTTACGTCTACTGAAGGTAATGATAGGTTAACATGAGCCGTAATACCAAAATCGTTATGTACACGTGGTGGCCGATTTCTCGTCTGTAATAGGTTGGTGGATTTATAAAAAAGCTGCAAGTGATTAGCTGTCAGGTCTGAACTTTCCATCAATTATTTTTGGTAGTACTGCCTCAGTTTGTCTTCAGATTTGAATGGCATGGACGTAAGTTGATGTCTCTGCAGATATGAATTTCTATTGTCTGCATTGTATTGTCACTAGTCATCATGCTGATATCGAACCCTACAAACCGTATTTCTGACCAGTATTACTAGGCTTTTAGGGACGAGCGGCAAGGAATGTGCAGTTTTTACCGAGTGGCGACTTATTTATGATTGACAGTAAATTGTTATGCTATTTATGCCTGAACAATAACGGTAGCTTTAAGCGGTGTTCCGAGACGAGCAAGTTCTCCATTAATGCTCTTCACTGGCCATACTTGAGCGGGCAAAACCACCATGGTTTGCAAGCTCGTGTAATGACAAGATGTGTTTGTGAGCTAAGTTGATGTCCAGACTTGAGTAGGAACTTCAAAGTTTCCATCCCAATGCGCTAACTTTTAATGGGAGAGATGTTGGCGTGCGAGATGAAATACATGAATAAGTCAGAATAACGCATATGATGTCTTGATGCACATAAGGAGAAGAAATGTTCCACGGTTGCCTTTATGTTGAAATTTCTGCTGCTATCGATTGACTAGTGTATTGGAAAATATCAAGTATCCACTGGTCCTTTGATAAAATCAATATTTTATCAAAGTATTTGGATTGAGAAAAGGAACTTGAATTACTAATCTGCCTGTAAATAAATAATGAACAGAGTTTCATGCTTCTTAAACTTAACATCCATTAAAGAGTCTTTCTTTCTTCACTCGACCTTCAAAAGAAATATTTTGTATCGATATTTAGTGGACTCATGTTATGTACCTTAGCTATATTATAATGCAATCGACTTAATAAAAACAAGGGACACTGGACGCGTTCTACACTGCGATACAACACCGAGACTGTTGCCGTTTATACAGTGATCATTTTGTTTTAAATTTGTATACATATGATTAAAATATTACTACCAAATATATATATTATTACTATATTGCATCTTCACAAGAATTCTGCAGCTTATCACAAATAAAAAATGTTACAATGGAACTCGGTCGTCGAGTTAGGCATTAATAAAACTGTTAGGTATTGATGAAATATAATTGCTATATTCCGTACGACTATTTTAATCAGCTCAGTTTTTCATACAGAAATATTTCAGGATCCTTTCATTTGAGTGTCGATGAAAGTCGTCTAATTACGCACAATTATACTCTCATATTTGTATTGAAATGGAAGTCAGAGTTATTATCCACACTAGATC